CTGAGGAGAGGTTATGATTACGAAGAGAATTTGTTTTATTACATTAGTCGTACGTGAACAGTTTCAGTAAGAGAAACAGTGTACCTGGTCATCCAAGAGGCTGTGAAATATGCAGAACAACAGACCCTGTATATACAAAAAAATACTATTAAAACCAGAGAGACAGCAACAACAACAACAATAATAATCCTTTATCTAAACACGATTTTGTTTACTTGTGGGGACGTGTATCTAGCTAAAAATTAAAGAAAGCATAAATATGTACAGTAATAATAATAACAATAATAATATACGTATTATCCACATGAACAAAATGTAAAATCCGTCACGTTCTTGCTTCGCGTTTGAATCGAGGAAACATTGGGGTCTAATTGTTTGATAAAAACGTCTTTTCTAACTTTGGCATCGAATTGCAATGACCTATAGAGTTGAAAAACATCTTAATTAATCAACAGAACGGACGGTTCACATACTTAGAATTAGTTTTTACCTGAGTCGAGTTGAGAATAATAAACAAGTAGAGAAGGACTTCACTCCATTGAACAACGAATCCCAGTAACCACGTGACACCCAACAAAGGCAGAAGAGCAGCGACACTTTTCAGACCTCTCCTGTGAAAGAAAAAGTGCAGCATTTACTAATTAACTGAACAGGTTTCACAACGGCCTGTCAAAAAATATTGCTACCAGTGTATAACCTCCCTTCCTTACGCGTTTGACTAAGGGCTGAAAATGATAGCTGGAAGGTTGTCCTGAGTTTAACTGTCTGACAGTAAAGCTGACTTCACCTAAACTTTTTTATGTATGTAGGCTTTTCTAAGCTCAGTTTTTCTTTTAATTGAAGAATTTTAAAGCTTTTCCGAATCAGTTAGCTATTTCCCACTTGGATATCAGAGAAGGAAGTAGAATATCTGAAAAATAGTAAGATTGATGGAAAGTAATAACAAATTATTTGTGGATCCATTTTATAATAGACAGATTAATTACAGAACGTGAAATGTTTCAATCGACAAAGTTATCACATTTATATTTAGTCCCCCTTGTTAAATTCGAATCCATTAAGTGGGAAACATTTCCTAGCTATACTTTAGATATTCATTACACTTGGGATTGATGATTCCAAGGAGCGCTCGATGAGAAATTAAAATTTTAGTTTTCCAAAAGAAAGCTTAAATAAATATCACTGTGAATATTACGCACTTGGTCTTTTCTAAGTTGTCGGTCCGATATTTTGTCGATATCTTGGTAAATATCACTCTTAGCAGGACCAAGAAGATTGCGAGATTGACCTGAAAATGGGAAGCAGTGAGTTTTCTTAGTACGGTACTAAAATTTATTGTTAGAATTACTCATCAAGCAATGAATATACATGTTTTCCAGCATCTAAACAGGTCAAATCGAAGCTTGGACCCAGAATTACTAACAAATACCGGGTTTAAATAACCCAAAGAAGAAGAGTATTCCACGGGGTTCTTGGATGTTAATGGTGAATCCATTGGTACCAAAAGGGTGCATGAGAAGGTGAGGGGAGGAGTGGGAAGGGGCAAAGTGAAGACGAGCCTCTGCTCACTCGAAAGGGGGGAGGGGTTCTTGTTGCAAGAATGAGATAGTCTGAACTGTTTTCGTCTCAACCTTATAAGTTTTTTGTAAGAAAACAAGGAAACGCTTTCCAGACGCTCCCGAAATCAGCCACTGGATGGAAAAATATTTTAGCTTACCAAAAGGATTGTGAGTATCGGAGCTTTGTACAACCATTCTCCATCATGAAGCCAGCACCTTGAAAATATTAAAAACGCTCTTGAAATGGACATTGCTTTTCAGTAATCTTTTTATTTAACAGTGTTTTTTTTGCAAATACAAAACAGTTATACCATACAGTCTGAACGCAGAGCCTTTGAAACGACTCAAAATCTGACCTACTAAACACTCACACCTCCGACACGCCAGTGTTCTCTACACTGTGTTTACGCTAAACCTCAAAACAGCTTGCCCTCGAAATGAGCGAGGTAGCGTTGTTATATTCGTCTGCCAGCCCCGGAGAACCATTAGACCAAGTAAAAACGCTAAACCCTGGGATGGATGGGATAGGATTCCGATGGGATTCGCAAGGTTCAAAACGACATTAAATTTTAAAAAATGTTTTCAAACTAAGGGGACTATTAAGCCTTGACATGCAGTTACACTCGGCACGCTGACTCCAAAATGCCACAGTGGAAGAAGCGATGGATCAAAACCAGGGTGAGTTGCCCATTCATTAACTAACCTGTCACGCATAATCTCCGCAGGAAGTTTTAGCGATCCACACATGACGTCCTTGTAGTAAGTCTTACTCATGTCATACGTCTCAGGCCTGATGGCTGCTATCAAGCCAACTAGAATAGCTGGGAGACCTGTCATTTAAAAAAATAATAATTAAAAAGGTGTGTTGCGGATACAACAAACAATTGGTTACCCCGTGGTATTTGTATTTATAATGTGGGTTGTTGTCCCATCGACACTTCCCGGATGTAGTTCATGAGGATTAAAGGACATGGCTTGAAACAGAAGATCCATTTAGCAAAGATCTTACCCCACCCGATGATGATATATGTGATGTATAGCTTTTTCACTGAGAACACTTTGACCAGCTTGATGTAAAGATGGATTCCTTCTACCAACATCCACGAAAAAATGGCTGTGTGAGTTACATGTTGGATGACAGCCATAGCTGAACACAATTTCTGCAATAAAACAAACAAAGCACAAAGAACAGCCTTTGGAATACACATGACAATTTAAGCACATTAAATATATTCAAGACCTTGGTAATAAATCGCATAAAGTGAGCACAAACTGAATCAGGGATTAATAGGGGGGGAGCAGTTTATGATATTCTTGTCTCAAAGTTCCTGGAGAACATACTCGTTTTGTCTTCAAAGTTGATCCTCCGGGAGACTCCCATGAGGAAAGGTCGGGGATTCCGTCTGAAAATTTGAATTAAACTTCTAAATGAGACCAATCTGGCGTAGTTCGAGCTTTATTTGATCCCTAAAAGATACCACTCTAAATCGAACATGACAGCGTATTTTAATATTTCGTCTTCCTAAAAGATACCTTGACGGTTAATTAAAGATAGTGACGTCGCCTCCTGAACAACCTAAGCGAGGCCAAAATTCATGATTTAAACCCCTAAGCGAAACGACGAGCATCCCCGACCTTTTCACATGAGAGGTCCCCCCTCCCCCCCGGGAGGTGAACACAGTTGACAAAACAGAAAAACGGAGAAACTCACTGGCGTCTGTTTCCTGTTTGTGAAAACAAAGGTGTCCAAGATCATCACGATGTAAACCAGGCACAAGGAAAGCAAAAGATTTTTATGAACAAATATCCTCTCTGAATTTCGTATCCTGTAAGATATAAAACAATAACAAGGGCTCCTTCAACAATCAAGTATTGACCAATCAATGAGAATCGCTCTGTCAATCAATCACTCAATTGATCGGTCAGTCGGGCAATCATTTTGTCAACCGTTTGCCAGTCAGTTGGTCAGTCAGTCAGTCAGTCAGTCAGTCAGTCCGTCAGTCGTGTCAACGACGCAGCATGGCCGTGTGGACTCGCACGGGCTTGAGTCCCGCTCTGACCACTACCTGGATTTTTTTCACGGTAGTCCCGAGTTCAAATTATCAACCACGCTTGTAAATAGCCAAGCTGGTTTGCCTCCGGCCAGTTGAGATTCTTAACAATGTTATGTTCAACATGAATTAATTGTTTCAGTTTTTGCCTGGTCCCACTAACATTTGTGCTATAAACACTGCCAAGGATAAATATTATTATAATCAGTAGTAGCAGCGGCAGCATCATCATCAATTATCTATTTATTAATTGGTGACTGATGACCTTAGACAGGTGAGGATGACCAAACAGAGTATTACAGCCACGATGGATAAGCTGCTGAGTGCAAGCTCTAAGTAGCCTTGAATGATAGCTTTTTGTTCTTTCTCTTCGTCTTTGACTTCCCTAGTTGTCATCTTTAAAGTTCCGTTGAGCTATAATAGAAAAAAATATCCTGATAATAATGGTAAAAGGAAAGTGAATTAAGTGTAAAGCTGGTATTCTAAATATCTAGCAAGGTTCCGAAATGATTTACATGTGTCCGAACTCTCGTCAGTAGCAACCTCAAGCAAGAGGCTATGTTAAAGGCTTGTTTACCTTAGTGCATAAGCATAGGTTTAAGCCGACATAAACAAACGCAGGAGGTTGATAATCAGCACCTTTTATTAGGACAATTTCCTTACAAAAGGCCTTATCTGCGCATGATACTTTTGCGTTAGTGATAAAGGATTTGTAAAAAGTGAAATATCGGTAGAGCGGCCACCCCTGAATGAGTCTCCTTCGCAGCCATTGAATCGTCATACAGCAAGGCAGAAACGTTGCTTAACGACACTAATAACGGCTGCGAAGGAGACACCGCTCAATGGGAAGGTACGCAGATTTCGACAAGGAGATAAAGAATTCCTGGTCGCTTGGAGAGCGGCCGCAATTTGAGGTTCAAATTTCGTACTGAGGAATGTTAAGAGGTCATATCAGAAGTAGAAATATTTCTAATATGACCCAGCATTGCTCTGGGATAACAGGTGAGTAGCTTCTAAGTAAAAACCTGCATATGACACTGACTGAGGATGTCGAAAATAGAAGGCACTGAAGAGCAGCTTTTCAAATTACTTACGTCATATCGAATCCATGTGCAGTTGGCAGGATGAAAATGGGCACGGGCGCTACTTCCATTAACCTGGTCAACACAAAAACAACGATTTGATCAGGTTCCTGAAGACCTTAATGAGGATGGTGATGATGATGATGATGTTGCCGCTACTGCTACGGCTACTACATGTACATGTACTGTTTCTTGATCAAAACGTTGCCACAATTGTGAACAACGACCTTTTAATTTTAAAATCACTTAGAGCAATATCATAAATGGTTACAACTTTAGTTCTCCTCCTGGTCTTGAAAGCAAACATGCAACGCGAGATGGAAACATTCGCTCAACCTTACATTGCTATCGGCGTTCTTTTTGGCGTAACCTTATTTGACCACATGACATTAACATATCAGATCGGATATAAAGCCTGTCAGAACTTTATTTCACCTCGCTAGTTATGTTCCGTGGCAGAAGGGCTGGATAACCGGGAGGTTGATCTCCCGAAGTTAGTTGAATTGGATCAATTCTCAATCGTAGCGCTGGTCGAAGCCAAAACTGCGTTGAACCAGGTCGTAACATGTATTGGTAACCAGGTTCATCCTTGTGATCGCCCACACTATAGAGAGGACTGCCAGAGACAAAGAAACAATGTATAAATATTTTCAAGCCCGCTACGAAATGGTTTAGCGTAACATGGCGTGACGTGACATGGAGCGCTGTGTCGTTGCGTGAAAATAGAGACACTTGGAAGCAACAGTTTTGGCAGGAGCTACATGCGCAGTTTGTCTGACCGCTTTTCAGGTGTACTAGAGTTTACTGAGCCATAATACCTAATTTTAAGTCTAGTTTAATAATACTTTGCCACATATACAAAAAACAAAAAATGGCGGGATAGTGACAAGAGGAAACTTATTCTCCATTCTAGGACCACTCTCCTTTCCTTAAAATTTATAAAGAAGAGACATAAATATATATTATAAAATGATATGAATTACCAAAACAAATTTAACAGATGGTAAAATACAAAAAAATAATAATACTTAGACTGGTGCTACTTCAAGCCCAAGCAACCTAAGAGAGTTGATTTAAATGAATTAATGCTCGATTTACACATGACATAAGAGAGACATGACTTACGGGGACGGAAGCCTAATACTCCTACAAAAAGCCAACATCTGGGTAAAAGTGGGAGCTGAACAAGCAAATTTCGTAACGTCCAATCTTAAAGACCATAATTGCTTGGTAGTCTGCGAAAACAACAAAAATGAAAACAGTTTAAAGATTTAAAAGCCAACATGTACATCAAGACCAAATACTCCTTGTGCCACCAATCTGGCATCATTTAGAGGAGAATGTCATCCTCTGCTGAAACACACTATCCCCAGGTGACTCACCACTGCACGACTGCAAAAGGAATTTGCAGGGGCCAGGAATATACTTCTGTTATCGGCTGCGTTGAAAAATATCTAGACAAAGAGAATAAGGAAAGCGCGTTAAGTTATAAGTGAGGTAAAGCAATGCGAGTGATAATTTTGCTAAACCTTATTACCTTTCGGCGTGCTGTTTTTATTGCGAGGCGGAGTGGCCTCATGGTTAGTGCGCTCAACTCCGGATCGAGCGGTCCGATTTCGAGCCCTGGCCGGGTTCTTTGTGTTTTGTTCTTCAGCAGATAGTTCGCTCTCGCAATGCCTGTCTCCACCCACGTGTACAAATGAGTACCGGCGAACTTAATGCTGGGGGCAAGCTGCGATGAATAACATCCCATCCAGGAGGAATAGAAATACATATAGTGGCTTAAATTTACAGAAACCGGGGATAAACTTTAGCAGAGCTTAGCAAGATGTGACACATAGGCTCGCTAAAAAAAAAACGTCACCTTAACCAACTTGGCTCTTTAAGCCCTTGTTCTGTGTCTCAAAGTCAACACTAATCATTACAAAAGTATAAAGTAACTTCCATAAAGCGTTCTTGGTCAGTAGAATCCATATAGACTCACCTAAGTGAATGCGTTAGCATGGATGCATGGATGGATGAATGGATGAAGAGATGGGTGAATGGATTGATATTTTGATTGACTGAGTGACTGACTGATTAAATGAATGAGTGACTGACTGACTAATTGCTGACTGACTGAGTAACTGAGTGAGTGAGTGACTGACTGACTGACTGACTGACTGACTAAATGACTGACTGACTGACTGAATGACTGACTGACTGAATGAATGAATGAATGAATGGATGAATGAGTGAGTGAGTGTTGACTGACTGACTGACTAAAAAAGGTTCAAACGTCAATTTACTGTCAAACCTTGCGTTCATGACTATCCGTTTCATCGTCCAAAGTTGACGATGGCTTTGTGTAAAATCGCGCATTTCTAATACTAATCAAATAATAAGATCTTTTCACCTGAGAGAAATTTATTGCTACCATGTCGTTTGATTGGCTGATCGGATTTAGCAGATTGGCGCCAGTTTTAAAAAACCGATTGAGATAATCAAGGAGCAATTCCTTATTTGTGAAGTTCGCTGCCTCTCTGATCAATTCCCTTGATAGTTTCAGCAAATCTGTCAAATTCACTGAAGACAACTGAAAATAAAAAAAAACGAATTTTCATTGCTGCTAAGGAAAGCATTTTTGGTTAGTGATGACACCATCATGAGATTACCGAAACATCGTGACAAAAAGAAAACGGAGCCTGCACTCCCTTCAATTAGTAAAGTAGGGGAATGAATAGACAGGTCGTGAGTTTCACTACACTGATTGTATTACATGTATTATATGTCCAAGACAGAGAAGTTAAACACCCATATACTGCTATATACCTCAATCCCGAATTCCTGAAGAAGAGTTGATTTTTCGCAAAAACATCCTTCTTTGTGACTCCACTTAGTTATTAAACCAAAGTCTGAAGAACAACGACTGGTGAAGTATCCTGTAAGTAAAATTAACAGCAATAAAAGACAAATTGAATAGTGAAATTCAGTACTAGTGCTATCAAGAGTTTCTTTAAATGTCTTGAGTTTAGCTGGCCAGAGAATCTGATATAACTGCCCTACTCACACGTTGAGGAATATGATAAACGATCACCATGGATCACATAAAATGGGTTCTGTTCACAGACTTAAAAGTTAGAACCACATTTTTGTGACGCTAGGTTTGACTCTGCTAATGAAAAGGCTCATTGTAAATCAGGATTGATACTGAAAGCAAAGCTCAATAATAAGTTTGTTGAGGAAAAACTCTCCAACCTGTCATACTCTCTTTCATTGTACAGCAACTTGAAAACGAGGTTGAAAAAGTTATCTTGGATCTCGCACGTTTCTTACGCGGACCTTAATCAGCTCTCATGAATTAGTGTCAATGAAATTAAATTTTGTTTAATTTTTATCATGTTTAAAAATCACAAATCATTTACGTTTGTGAATTAGTTCAGATTGTTGTCTCGAGATTTATATTTCAATACTTTCAGTTTCAGATTAAACCTTACAATAACATTTAACTACTTTTTTACCTCCTAGATTTGGATCTATTTCTGAACAATTCCTTTGTACAATCTTGTCCAGGGCAGTTCTTTCCCAGTAGAGGTTGAATTTTGTGTGAAATGGACAGACATCTTTGAAAGAGAAATATACATCAAACAGTTAAGGTGGCTAAAAACAATTTCCAGCACTTAGATTTTAATGGGTCGTTATAACCACTCTTTGAGAATTCTGTACATAGGGTTCCGAGCTACCGTTAAGTTTCGAAAATTTAAGGTGGCTCTGAACCCTAGTTAGAGAATTTTTTGAAACTTTGCCAAAAGTTGTGTCTTATCGTGCGTATTAAAATTTGATAATATAAAAAAATCCCCCCCCCCCCACCATTCTTGAATTATAAGCCCCTAAAGCTGTAATTAAGGGCGTTTTAAGTAGGTCATACTGTTGCTATGGTAACCTATTGCGTCACGAAAGTGATAATAACGTGTTCACCAATGATTGGACGGTTTTTTGATACACTGATTGTCGCATCAAGTGATAAAAGGTGGTTATAATGATCCATCAAAATCTAACCGTTGGAAACTGTTTTGAGCCACCTTAACAACAATTTCAATAGACACTGTGAAGGGTATGGTTTTCAGGCAGTTATTCCGGGATAGGGTTCTAAGAAAAATTGATACTCGAAAGTGAGTTTGTAGGATGTTTTAGGTATCGTGGATTAGACTACCTCCGCCAAGCTACCGCAATACGTACACGCGTTTCTCGGCATACATTTTTCCCGCGCTTGGAAATAGTGACTTGCCTTCCCGCGCATGGCGCTAGGGCCATGTTTTCCTGCTTTGAAATCAGTGACATGTTACTTAGCGCTTTGTGTCGAGTACATGTTCTGTTCGCTCCGACATTTAACTTTTCAGTTGTATGATTACTTTCGTTTGGTTTCACGACATCTTACTAGCACTGGAACTTACACTGTGCACAGACTCTCTCGTCTGATCCATCATTACAATCCTGTCTCTGATTACACCTGTCATTTAGTGACCTGATTTCGTCTCCACTTTCACACACGTACAGCCTGTCCTCTGAAATAAGGGTTGAGTTTTGTATTGCTGCAAACGTAAGAAAAAAACCTTCTTGGTTACGTAGAGCTGTAAATGTTTAAGTATTAAGAATTTCTGAGTCCTGTTATTTTTGCAAGTACAACTGACAAGAACGAATATACTTTCCGGCCCAGATATAGCATATCTGACAAATATAATCTCCAAACGTTATCATAAGCAATCCCTGGTTTTCGCTTTATGTATAGTCTACATATACACACTTAATTAACTTCATTGATAACAAACCTACGAATGCCCCAGTACAGCGAATTTGACTGGTTTCTAAGTAGCATCCAGGCTTCACTCGTTGTTGCTCAGAGCTGCAAAAGAAATCGACACCATTCTCCTTCCAGCGGTGACCATCAGGCAGGGTTTTGTTCCTCCAAGTGCACGCTATGGAGGCAACAGCAAGAATATAGAAGTATTTCGATAACGGATCTGTGGATGACTTATTTCACATTCCAATTTAATGACAGGCACCTTTTCTAAATGCCGTGGGGAATATAACAAGGCATCAATGACTGAAAGCTCTTGCTTGAATGTCTGCTAATTACCAGTGTTCCAGAGTGATACTGGCTGTTGCGGAAACCTGACAAATTTTGGAGCGCGGTGGGAGGGAGGGGGTATCCTGTTCCAGACTGCTATCCCATGTAAAAGTAGTACCAATTCTTCTAGTCATTTTACATTGACAGTTAAAAAATAAACGTGGCATACTTACCTTTACAAATCCCTTTGCTTGTCTTGAGAAAGGCCTCCACGTCACACCCTGTTTGATTGCAATGCTCGGTTTTAAACTCATCACTTGTTATGAACATTATCTCCCGTGAACAGGAAATAATTCCTTTATCACATCTACAGTCGATGCAGTCGCCAACAGTCCATGTGGCTCCATCAAAATAAGCATTCCCTTCCTCGTCTTGGCACAGGGCTTCTAAACAACAAAGCAGCGCCTTGTTAAGGCTTGGTTTTCAGGTAAATGCCGCCGATAGCTTTGGCTGCACATTTTGTTCTTTCACTTAATGTACGTGTAACACAGCTCTTACAAAATAGTTTCTCAAGTTATCTTCTTCTCAAAATAGCGACTACAATGAAACGCCTAACAGTATCTCAATTTACAGTAGCATGGTTTAGTTTTCTCTGTTTTTCAGACTTACCCGGTTCACAATCGTTTTTCTGTAGACAGTTTGGACTGGGCGTGTCACACGCGTCATCGCCTGCTCTAAGCTGAAGCCCTTCAGAACACACAGTCATGTTCCATCGCATCTGGCTGGTAAGTTGAGGAAGTGCTATGAAAAGAAATTGTGTATATTCTCGCATGAGAATCATTCCTTAAAATGAAAAAAGGTTGTTAAGGTTCGTTTATATATATGGGTTATTGACCAGGTGTGAGGTTAAGATGGCTGGACAGTTGGCGGGTTCGTTTATATATTTGGGTTATTGACCAAACGTGATTTCAAGATGGCTAGATAAGAAAGAAATAGGTTGTACTAGTTTAGATTTCTCGTGTGATCTCCTTTACCTGCATAAACAATTAAGATATAAACTTATATTACCTGGACATTTCCTTGCACAGCAAACAGCACCATTATATAAATAACACTGAAGCGTCTTCATTTGTGGACATCCTTGGGTTGCCTTCTCACCCGTAAACTGGAACTTACATCCTTGGTACTCCCATGTGTCTCCTTCAAGCAGAATGCGACCGTCTTTGGTTGTTTCAATAGCTGTGGGAGAAAATATATATAAATTTTGCTATGCACGGGTAATTAAATGGCCACCCGTGAAATTATAAATTAACGCTGAATTTCGCGGCAAAGGTAAGGAATAATTTATCACCCATGATATCAGTAGGGTAATAATATGCGGCAAATTATTTGGATTGTGAAATAGTTGCTAATTGTGCTGCCACGAAAGTCTGAATACCTCTAATTACACAACAGAAGTTTGTGCACAACTTACTGCACATTGGTCGAGTGGTCCGACCCTGATCTCGACCACGACTAAAACTGCCCCCCTAGTCATAATTGGCCATGTGGAATGAGCATCTTCTTGACAAGATTAAACGAGCTGCAAGCCTCAATTTCTAACTGGCTAACTCGAAACGTTTTGAAACCTGGATTTCAGTCACCTAGAGTTTGATAAGCACTCTCTGTAAGATCCTCATAACCCTTTTGGGTCAGAAAACAGATTCCTGAAACTTTAATTTTCTTTAAAAAAATGAACTCAGTGTGATTGGAATTGCAAGTGGTGTCCCGAGGCAGACCAAAATAGTGATTTTTACGTCTCAAAAGTTGCATTTTTGCGTAAGTTTATTATCATCTCACCTCTCTTAAAGTTGCATGCTAAAAGTTATACTGCCATGTGGGGGTGAGTATATGTCTTGTTAGTACTAGGATGCTCTTAAACCTTCCATAGCATTACTGAAAGCAGTTACATTTATTTTTTGTCACACTCACTTGTAGAGCCCATATAAAAAAAAACATATCCAGAATCCAAGCACAGATCACCGTGCTTGGGGTTTCCACTACATTTACTTGCATCTTAGGTTTATTAGTCACAATAGACCATTTCTCGAGCCTGACCTTGGCAAGATTCTCTTCTCTCTTCGATGAACTCTCGCGTGTTGCAGGCGGGTTGTTCACAGGATTCATAAAATGGAACATATGCATTGTGTTGACCTGGGAAATTAACTTGTAGTTCTCTTTCACATTTCAATAATCCAGCATTACATCGGCAGGTGATGCAGTCAGTTACCTAAAAGTGGAAAATAAGTTAACGTGGTCTCAGCAATTTAAAGGCGTTACGTCATGGTTTGCGCATATCGGAAAGTTTTCGGCTAAATTTCTCAAATTCGTCGTTTGTAATCCGTGTTAATCTTCTCCATCCTTAACCATGTTTGTTCCTTTATGGTTTGTTATCTCCTTAGTTTTTTTCTATCTTAGTAAACTATTATTGTCAGGTTTCCCTCAATTTTTTTGAAAAAAAAAATTTATAATAAGCGCGTCTTCGCCATGGTTGACACCATCACTTAACTACATGTAATACACGCGTTTTAAAATGTGGCTCGATTTATAAGTTAAGATTACCTTCCAGATATCTTTGAGAACCAACACCTGTCCCTCTTCATCACGACAAACAACTGGAAACACAAAATATATCAGTGATAGATTAGCGTCTTATCAGTGCATTATTAGGCAGCCAAACAGCAGGCTGGAGCTTAACTGTGGTTTCAACTCATTGCGCAGAATGAGTACATACAATTGCACTAATTAAAAGCCGGTCGAGTAAATTACTAAAAAATGTCGCCTTGAACGAAAAAGGGAGGCCGATCTTAAACTGAGAGATTGAGAGTTACATGAGAGACGACAATAAGTTCTCATCCCAGACTGAAACAAACGGAGGCGAAATCTCTTCGCCTGTCCCACTAGTACTCTCTGATTTCGCGTTCGTTATAGAATGTTTTGGCACGAAATTAACGCCTAGATGGACTGAAGAGGGATTGGTCAGAAATAGACAAGCTTTAAATTTAATCATATGGAATAGGTTTCGTTTCATTACTTTAAATTATAACTTACCATCCAGACATTGCGCCTCATCTGAGCCATCAGAACACTCTGAGACGCCATTACACAAGTGACGTTTTCTTATAAAGTCACCGCTTGAACAACGAAATAACTCATTTGACTTCTTCAACTGAAAAAAAGCTAGATATGAAAAGTAGGTTAGTAAATATTCGGTTGAACAAGCTTTAAGAGGCTTCCTTCCATCAGAGAGTAGCAATGCTTACCGCGCACATGACATGACGGTGCAGCCTTCTTGATGAAACCATACTGAGTATGAAAGCACAGCCATAGATGAACTTGGTGTTTCGTTTTGTTGCAAATTATAAAGAAGACAGTGACCGCTCATGTTAATGGAACAAATTACAAACCTTTTCTCAGCGTCAAGTATCATGGTGGTATTACGGGCACATGTGAAATAATAATACGAAACTTGGCATTTATTGCAAACACGAACAAACCTTGACAGGCGCTAACAGTCCCACTTCCGGTTGGCATAATATCTTCACTTGGTCGACGACATGGCATGCAATTCCCGACTGTCTCAACTCTAATTTTGCCGTATTGAATAGTCACGTGATACTTGATACAGCTGATCAAGCCATCTCCGCATGTGCAGTTAAAGCAGGCTCCAGAAAACCAGTTTTTCCCATGTTCCCTCACGATACCGTTTTCATCGGTGCAAGCCGGTCGAGAGAGCTTGGTGCAGGTTATTTTTCCTTCGAGGCAGCTGCACTTAGTTTTGCTGTTGCTAAGCCACTCCTGTCTGTCAGCAAAAGCGTTTCCATGGAAATCCCAACAGCCAGTTTGTGTTTTAGTGCATGAGACTTGAAAGTTCGGTGTACATTTGCAGGTGAAGAGTGGGTTGGGATTCAAAGTCTGCCCAACGTCATAAACGTTTCCGTCCTTGTCTTTACAGCCTAGATTAAATAAAAAGTGTCAAGCTGTCAACAGTGATTTCTTTACACAAAAACTGTTTTAAAGGGGTTAGTTCACGTGGTTCTTAGCTAGTGATTTAGTAACATGCAAACTGGTCTCGAAGAGACTAGGTCATGCCGTCCTTGATGATTCTGTTTGATCTTGGTTCATATCTTACGTGACTCGGAAACGACTTACAACTTAAAAAAACTGTCAAAGTTAAGTCATTTCAGGAGAACCTACAAGCTTTCCTTTTCTCTAACTTACGTCCTCCATCGTCAGAAAGTCGTCAAACGTCTCTTTCAAAAGACTCGCTGAGTACCTTGACGAGTTGGTAAACGGGCCGAGAGTTACCACTTTCAACCTCTTGCCCCTTACTGGCTAAATATCATACCTAATTCCTTGTTTATTTAAAATTTCTGACCTGCTCTTCCGGCCCCACAGTAGCGCAGACTGCAGAATTGTTGTGCTGTGGGGAAGTGTTCAAATCTGTACACGATAAAGTCACTGCAGTTCCTTACTAAGACCTGACTATACCAGAAGCAACACTCGTCGTCTTTAGTGAAACAAATCATACGTTCCACCACTCCCTCCCCCACAGTAGGATGCTTGCCATTTAACCATCCGGGAGACAGAGCACCACAATGCATTTTTGGCACGCATTTTGTTGGCATAACAGTCCCCGCGCGGCCAGTAAATCTGTACCAGACCTGGGGAAGACTGGCGTCACATTTCATTGTGTGGTAACTGAAGTAGTCTGCAGCTCTGTCGTTCTCGTTAAGTGTTTTGTAACTGAGGCACTCGTTATCATTTCCTGTAAATGATGATATAAAAAAAGCGCAAATATGTGGCTCTCGATGTAAACAGAGGCAACAAACACTCACGCGGTACTCATTTGTTGCGGTAAATGTGACAGAAAAAAAGTTTCACAACATTTGATCCTGCCCGCCTTATACAACAAGACCACTTTGCCAACTGAACTTGTTTTTATTACCTGAAACATTTTTGCTTCCTGCCTGAAGAAGTGGAAGTGACCCTGCAATTAAAAAACGACTGAGTTAGTTGCTTTAGTCCTGTGCAGGTATTTTCACTAATATATCAAACACGAAAGACCATGTTTGACCACATTTCCAAACACCGAGAAGAATGTTGAAAAGACACGCAGCGGAGTCTTTCTGACGAACTTCGAAGTGTTTGAAAATGTTTTTAAACACGTTATCGAATGTTTATATCTCCTCAATCGAAACTAAAACTAAGGAGGAAACGGAGAAACAAAATCGTAAAAGTCTATGCTAATATTAAGATCGGATATTCAAGCACCGTCGCGGTCATGATTTTCTTTTAACTTCATGAATTATTAATGAGTTCGAGAAGTCCACTGTGTTTTTTTTTACGATAAGACAGAAGATTAAGGAGTTACGCAAAGTAAACTTGAAGAACAAACCATACTTTACCTTTAACACCATCTCCACAAAGACGAAAGTTGAAGTTAAAAGACGGCATGGTAACCAGCTTGTAAACATAGAAGCCACTGCAATTTCTTACACGCATGCTCACAGAGACCATGCAGCATAACGGTTTCATGGTAAAGCAAGCCGACCGTTCTACGACTCCTTCCTCAACACCCGGATGTGTACCCGCCATCCATCCGGGAACTAACGTTCCACAGCGATTGGAGGGAACACAAGAGGTCGACATCTGTTTTCCTGCCGAGCCATTGAATGTGAACCAGCCTGTTAATAAGCTGTCACTAAGGTTTGTTGTGTAGTTCGAGGAAAACTTTGATCTGTTTATCTCATGCAGTATGGTGTAGTTTATGCATTCGTTGGCTATAGGAAGAAAAGCATGTTAATGCTTAGTAATGTAAGGTAACAGGTTAGATCAAGACGAAAAATACTACATTAATTAGAAGCTACGCATTCTTATATTATATAAACAAGCCGTCAATTTCTTTTATAATAAAGTTTACTTTAAACTAGGCCTCTCTGGGTTTGATTAAAATTGGCTTACGCCCCATTCGTACGGCTCGCACCGTCTAAATTGTTGAGGTGCAAAATGTTATGTAGATTATCATCACTTCAAAACTTTCAACATTTCTGCTATCAATTGCAAAAACAAGACTCTCAAAACTTCCGCTTTCCTAGTTGTCTTGAAATTTAGCTACTCTATTTCATATTTCCATGTTATTAAAACGCAACACAGTAGGCTGCATTTGATTTTAATTATCTTAACCGGACGTTTTTAAATTTCGAGAACTACAATTTTCAATTTAAGTTTCAATCTAAACCTCATGCATCACTGATATCTCGCCTACAGATCGATACCTAATATTCGATGTAACGAATCTATTCTAGACTTTCACTTTCCATCACAATTATATCAATTTAAATTACCAGGAATAAAGCTGGCAGTCATCCGCGAAGACAGTGAGATGGCCACGGCCAACAGCGCAATCATTTGACATTGCATGTTATCCAAAAGGCATCACCGCCTACATAAAGGGAATACAACAATCTAATCGTGATCAAGTTTGATATACTCCATACCATACTTGAATTGGTACTTACTCAGATTCGCTAAATTAAAATGGGAATACCGATTAGGTATTACATGGCAAAAGTCGTTGGGGGGTCCCGATATTTTCATATTTAGCGGTTTTGTGAGGAGTGTCTGGCGGCCATGGATATTAGTGGGAGTGAGTAATGACGACGGCTAAGCCATGGACAACGCCTAGTTAAATTGGCCTAGTAGTTTACCTTCGAAATTTACAATTAGCTAAACTTGTTTAGGAGGCCAATCGGTCTAAAACCGCTCAAACTAAATATTATTACTTCGTAACAATGGAATTCCAGTTGTTACCAGAAGTTACAGAGCTTCACAGCAAGAATTCCCTTCTTCGCCTAAAGTCAAGCCACCCTGCCATCTCCAAACAAACATTGTCTATGGGATTCCCTGCAGTGACTGTATTTGGAGCTGATTGGAGAAACAAGCAGATGCCTTCAAACGCGGGAAAACAAAACATGTCAGAAATGTCAAGCATTGCAGCAAAGGCTCCAACTTTTCCCACCATGCATGGTTGAACGACCATCGACTGTGATAACGCTAAAGTAATTGACAAAGGCGATATCGTGTGCGAAAAAACTCTCGGCTGGCAGGACTAATGAAGCAGACAGTAATTCTAAACCAATGCCAAGACAATATGCTATTCTTTTAAATTAGTACCTCTTCAATATCCAAATTCCCTTTTGTTGTCATCATTTTAATTTTGCAATTTTTTTGTATTTTTTTCACACCTTTCGCTGTATATATTCATTCATTCCCGTCTTTTTGATCATTCGTCAAAGGCTGGGCTGAAAGCTTATTTTAACGTACATTTTTCAGCCAGAGAACGTTTTAATTGTTTTAATATGTTTAACCCTAGTTGCTCGTCTATATTTAAATGAGTACTGCTGGGAATAAATTGCAAAAAAATATACGAATATATCAGTTGTTGCTTAACTGAGGACGTCACGAAGTGTACAAATATTTCTAACGCTTGGCCCATTGTCCTGCTCGTTCATTGACGCTTCTCAGTTTGGTGACGTTCTCGTTGCCGTTGCCGTCATGGTTTGCCTAAGCTCCCGGCTATAATTAATATGTCAACTTCAAAAGAAGTTTTTCTATGATGTTCCATGGCATTCCCAATAAACTGGAAACACAAAACTAAGCTTACCGTATCAAATTCTACGACAATGGAATAAATTCCATCTAGGGAGTAACTGGAACGGAACTGCTTGCTTAGCTCAATGATATAACACCCACTCTCTGTGCAAAAAAAAATTTGTAAGTTAAATCCTGAAATGACATGTGAAGCGAGATATTTTTCTGTATATCGACGTGCACTGGAATGTTTTGATAAAATAAACCTGTCGATCCAACACGATTAATTGCACATCCAAATAGAACATGTTGCAAGTGGGTCAGATACCCTGTACAAGGTGCCAATATGGTTATAAACATTAACCTCAAGCGTGAGTTGGCTCGAACTCACCAAAGTATTGGAAAAAAACCTTCCGTCGTTCTTCGAGCAATCACCAAATGTTCTGTTGTTATCGACTTCCTGTGTTCAAATTTTAATGTATCTAAGGTGTTTTCCCTGAAGCATGTTTGCAAATATCATTTACATGACCAAGGAACCGACCATCGGCAAGCTCGTATTATGACTGACAACCCAGGATGACTGGTAATTGATCCGACAGCCGGAGGACGAGTTCGTACAAACAAAAGCGCTTCAAACTTGCGCTTGAAACTTTGCGAGTTTTAAAAGATATTGTATAGTACTATACTACATAATTTTCTTTCTGATAAAGGGCCAATAGCCTAGTTAAACCTCTACACAAAATTCCCTTTCAAGGGCACAACAAGAATATTGATTGAGACTACGCGACTATTGAGCCAGCTAGACAGCTGCCGGCAAACTTGGGAAATGGCATTCGTTCGTTTATAATTTCTACCAATTTAATATTCACGTAATAAAGAATTCAAACAGGTTGGCCACGATAAATAAAATAAATATAGATTACAACCATACATGTCTATGCCCTGCAGGCTAAACTGTATGTGTTGGTTTAATTACTATATTCGCGTATCCTTAAAATTCCCTCAGCTATGTGACAAAGCAAAACCACATTTCAAGATGTGTGCTTACATTTCTTCGCTGTGTCCTGCTGAAATTTATTGTCTACTACCAATGGCCGCTAAAGCATTCTAACGTTTTAAGTTAAGAATGAAATCAGTTTTTTTTGGTTTTGTTTTGTTTTTTCTTTCTTTTTTTGTTTTAAATGTTCTGGCGGTCTAATATCACCTCCAAGAATGACATTCGAAAGTAAGATTTCTTTAGTCACATATAAAATGACCATGGAGTGGCTGACTTCCTTTTCGGTAACGTTTCAAAGTAGTCCAAAGTGTAAGAAAAGGTGTTTTAAAAAAAAACCTGATTTGACAACGCAAAAAATACACTAAAACCTACCTTGCTGGGCTTTTAGATTTTTTGCGTCAAAATGAATTTTTTGCCCAATTTTGATTCTTGCTGAAGTTGTTTTTAGTCGCGTGGAAACTTTTTGACACCTTCAATCAACTCGTTCTATTGATTATATATTGGGCAGACAATGTAACCAACTTGAAGAACGCTATTTTCACCAGAACTTCCTTTGACCTGATTCTTTAAAAGGATTCAAAGCCTCGGATGTTTTCCTTTAAAATTTTTCATAGTCAGACCCCAAAGAAAGGGGTACAATTTAAAATTTCTCAACATATATGTTGGCCGACTTGGTCATCAAAATTGTTGTGACTGTATTCACGGACTTTCGACGTGATACGTCATTACAAAACAGCTGACAACATGCTTCCAAAAAACCGTTATTACTACTAAAGATTACGCAGGAAAGAATCTAGAAGATTTTCCTCTTACTGTAAGCGACTTTTTCGTTTAAGCGTCATCTAGCCTCGTAAAATATCGTCGAAATTTTAACAAAACTGGATTTGCGAAATATCGAAAAACATTCGTCGAAAGTTCTCCTCAAGCTAAAGTTCGCAACTTTTTCGCCAAACGTTTGGCGAGTTCCGCCAAAACAACTTTTTCTCAGTGCTGTACCAATACATCGACAAGTTCGCAGTGCGACTGATAACTCAGTTTGTAACGTGTAATCAATCAAACAGCATTTACGACGAACGAGCTCGCACAAAGGAAAACAGCCTTAAAACTTGCCCGTTTTACTTCGCTATTGCAGAGTTAAAATATCGGCAGTGTTGTCTGTGTTAAGCCTAAGTAGTGTTTCCATGTGGCGCTGTTTATTATGTTCCACAAGATGTTTCTAATCTTGAAACCGGGGATGAAACCCTAGTGTGTGACCATTCTTTCATGTGGTGCTGCATATCCTGTACCAGGTGGTTGTAACTTTTCAGTCCGTGTATGACACGCTATTTTGCGCACCTTGCAATGAAACCAATTAGGCAGCACTTTCATTTGTGTTTATGGTTATCTTTCCAAGTAAAATGTGTCAATCACTTTGGAATTTTATCATTCACGCAAGTTAACACATCGCTAATCAGTCTGGTTTCCACTTCTCGGTTTTCTATTGAATTTCTATCAAAGGTGCACTCCCGTCTGCCCACCATGCCGGCTATCAACCGATAGCGTAATTGTTAAAATAATCATCCGATTGGAGGCATGGCTTGATGTCATCCTCAAAAAATTTCTCGCTTTTCATCAAAATAAATTTCCTTTTGAATCACGCTGAGCACTTTTAGTTCCTGTTTACGTTGAAATACAATAAGGTTGTTTCGAACAGTCTAGATTAATTTTGTGTAACAAGATCTTTGAAGTTATTTTTCAACATGATATGATATTTCTATGCTATCAATTACTAAGGTTTTGCTCTGTTTTGTTTTAATATTGATCAGATCTAGGGGTATATGCAATTCCATTTTACACGTGTTTTATTTTGGGCTGCAACAGTGTTCAAATCACCCAAGCTTTCAAGTGTTTCTTCTAAAGATTTCGGATATCCGTGGTTTAAGGTTGCAGCAAGGATGTGCTTCACTTGCAGAGTACCCTAACCACCTCCACATCGCATCTCGCTTTAATTTTGGTAAAATAAGGGAACAAATGATATTTTTATGGAAAATAATTTTGTATTTTCTACAAATTGTTTGCCCATTGTTCAAGAGCAAAATGGCTTTCGAGAAAAGTGCTACTGTGTTTCTCAATGCGGAAAGTATAGATACGTTTAACGGCTTTCTGCTGTAGCATTAACACACACGAAAACATCAATTACACTAAGTAAACCCTACCAAGTAAGATGATCCTCGGCGGATATGGAAAAGACTTTTGTCTTTGTTTAAAAATAAAAGCAAATCCTCGGTGTTTTTAACATATTGTGTTTCTCCAAATATCGTAATTGGTGCTGAGACAGAAATGGTCTATTCGGTTCCCTGACGGTTATTCGATCATTCCGAGAAAAAAAGGATTCAAATATTTTGAGCTTTAAGAAAAACTGCGATTTATCTGAAGCTTTCTGGTCAATGTTTTAGCTTTATTTGCGTTCATAATGTATTTAGTTTAAAATCGTAAATGCTTTCTGCAGATACAGATAATCATTTTACAACATCTTTATTGCAGCGGAAAGTATATTTCTTGTCGGCAATGGTGTGTCAACGAAAATCTTTTTTCATAAACGTACTGATGAGGATTTCTTTACTTTCATGCATCATTTGATTTCGACACAAACACCACTTTTACCTTTAAAAAACCGGCTAAAAAAAAAATTCGCTAAATGATTTCGCGAAATTAAAAAAATAGACCATAAAACACAATTTAAAAGCAACTGTTCCAAACAATGGACTATTCCCAAATAATAGAACAAGAACTTGAAAATTGGGAACATGAACATTTCGCCGCATGATTAGCCTGTTTGTGTTAAAACTGGTATGAAATAAGTATTTTACTTAAGTCACGAGATCAGTTGGGCAATTTTCCTGAAGGCTATGTCTAAGGACTATAAATTATTGTGACAGCTATATGTTAGTTAGAAAGACTGTAGCATAGCTAGAAACAACAACGATTCAACTCTGACTCTGCTCAAATCCGTTTTGTTGCAAACAATTCTGTTTCTAACGACCATTTTGGAAGGGAAGATTCCTTAAAAGTTGCTATAAATAATTAACAGAAGACAAGGACCCCTCAAAACCCGAAATACACTTTTGCCAATTCTTAAATCTGCTTAGGCGGTGTTCGACAAAACTGTTGAAGGGTTCTTTTTCCGGCGAGGACATCACGCCTGTATGTGATAAATTAAATAAAATTCTTTACAGCACAATTGCCACCGCAAAACGGTGAGTGCATGGTTCGATGGTATCATATAAATAGAAAGTAAAATGTTGCTTGCCTTACTCAGCTAATATACCTTGTTACTTTGCCCCCTAAATCGTCGATTAAAGCCAGCAGAAACGATTCAAATTGCTCCAACATAGGTGCGTTGCTAATTATTCGCGAATACATAAATGGAAAATATTGCTTTACGTTGTGGACAACTCGGCAGTCTAGGTGCACTTATCAGCTGGACGCAAGGCGGGAGGTCAATAGGTACAAGTATAAACCTTAAGGGATATACTGAACGTAAATAACAATTTTCCTTTAAAATGTATATTCATCTGATAGCAAGACTTACCTTGCCTTCAGACAATTTTGGGGAAGAAACGGGGCTCTGCTATCACCAAACCCAGTCAATGTTTGCCTGATTATCTTTGATTCAAAATACGCAAAACGGAAGTACTCCTAAAGCATAAATATGAAATGTGTCAGTGACATAATAAATTGATTTTTTTTCTGGCCGTGTGTTTACACGAGACACTTTCAAACGCAAATAGTAAGAAGAATAATACAGATATTAACAGTCATCTGGGGCGTCTAAAGTGTCTAGAATGCCAAAATTGGTCTGTAAAGTTTGCGACTCTCATTAAACACTATGGTAATAAAAACATATTGACACTGCGAATAACTTGTGTCTCAGCTTGTAAGTATATATAATATGCATCGTCGTCAGCCTGAAATATCAGTTCAGGGTAACAATAGACAAGGTATATATGGCTAGCAATATCGCTTGCAAACTAACTAGGACTGACATTGCTCTCGAATTGAGAAAAAAATATGGACATTGATAAGGTTTTGCGACTGGCCATTAGCCTTGAATTAATTTATTATTTAAAACAATTTTCTGAAAAAAAAATATCAAATTTCGTGGGGATGTTTTAAAGGGCCGTGTAAACACCCTTAGATACAGCCAGTCTCGAGCATGCGTTAACGATTTGCAACCCCAATCAAAATGCGGTAGCCTTGTTAAGAAGCAGGAATAATTCAGAGGAACTTTCTGCCGCGGACTGAAAATGACGGTTGCTTTAAAGTTTTTAATGTGAAGGTGGGAACAGACCAATTTTTAAACAAACTGATTCTTTTATCACTATATTATCTTCACTGGCGACAAGCCTTTTAGGGCTAAAGACATCGAAAATTATACGTCTAAAATTTTGTGGGAGTAATCAGACCATGGCGCACGTAATATGTCAACAACTTGTACGATACGCGTGGCTACTCTTAGGGTTTTAGTTCAATCTACTTGTGAGACCTGTGTTATGCGTATTTTCTGTTTTAAAAACTAAAAGAAATCATCAAACACGGCTCTTCTGCTTATATATCAATTTGTTCTGAGTCATGTCTTCCTCGTCAGGCGAATTTTGCTTTCTAATCTTTCTTGGTTTCTCGCCGGGCACGAAACTTGAGGAATTGATATGAAAATTATAAGAAGAAGAAAGGAGAGAAAATTATAAGAAGAAAATTATAAGAAGCGATTGCCTATAGAAATAATTTATTTTCCAAAGCTTTTCATCTTACCCATCTTCCCCTCCCTGGCACATTCGTCTCTTAACCATCCATCTGTCATCGCCTGGATCAAGTGGCTGATAAAAGATGACCCATATAGGCCAATGAGAAGAGTTGATGACCTCGAAAACCTTTTACCAGGAAAAAGAAAACAGTGGCCACCCAGAGCAACGTGCATCAGCCACTAGGGGCATGAGCCTGTCTGAAAAGGCAACGTTTTGCAAAAGCATTTCTTTTAAAATGGTGGGAAAAGTCAATCTGCATGGATGATATTGAGCGCTGATTCTTTAATGACAAACAGTTTATCTCAGATCTCCTTTGCCAGTTGTAAATACCCGGAACAAATTGCCCAGAAACCAGTGGCGTTACGATCAAGTCGGAATGAATAGGGACTTCGATCTGTATACAGCAGAAACATTTTATCCGCTGGGAAAAACACCGCTTTAGTCGTGTTATTGAGATAAAACGTTTTGTAGAAGCCCTGGAGTCTTC